ATGGTTAAATATGTAGCTTGTTGGCAGGCTATTTTATCAAGTTCATGGATTGGTTGCACGTTCACCTCTATCTAATTATTTCATTTAAAATTATTTTGTAATAATGTGGTACGAATTCTTATTAACTTCTTATTTAAAAATGAATAAATAAATTAGATACTTATTTGTATTTTTTACATATTCATACGTGACACCTTTTTTAACTACATATTCCATAGATCAAATCCAATTTCAAGCGATAGAAACAACGATTTACTAGATCATTGATGTGAAAAATAAAATACACGCTTCTCAAAACATTTCCTAAAGAAGTTGCTTCGGACGACATTCTATCCATGCTTGTAACATTTGACATGCTGAAAAGCTTATGTAGCCCATGTTTGGTATAAAATTCATTTTCAATCATAATTTCCTCGATAAAATAATTTTGTACATAAATTCATAACTTTTCTCGAATTTTTAACCATAATTCCTTCAAAAAATATTATTTTAATTCATTATCCAAAAACATATGTCGGGCAGCTTATCATATTCTCCTTACTTATTTTTGAATGTTCTCTTACTTCTAAAAAAGTTACATCAGATTAAAAATTATTGAAAAATATTTATTGTACATCATCCTTTATAGATTGACGAAGTGACGATAAATTAAATTAAAACTAACAAAAAAATTTCTTCTCCACTTAAACGATGTGCTTATGTAATGTGGGTTAATGTAAAAAAGGTGGAAGAACTTTTTTCGTTGGCGAAATTTTCACTCAATCAAATCTTATCATATAATACGTTGATAAATAAATTTATAAATTTTGATTTTCATATAATTTAATAAAAAATTATTTATTTACAAGCACAGATAAATTAAATTAAAAAAATAAAAAAAAAATCACCACTTAAACGACGTACTTATGTAATGTGGGTTAATGACAAAAAAGGTGAAAGAACTTTTTTCCGTCGGCGAAATTTTCACTCAATCAAATCTCATCATATAATACGTTGATAAATAAATTTATAAATTTTGATGCGCATATAATGCAATAAAAAGTTATTTATTTATGAATACAGATAATTCAAGAGGTCCATAAGGATCAATTCTCCAAACAGACAACAACAAAAAAATTGGCATATACAGTCTTGACCTTATCTAGCCCTTATTTGATATACGTTATTTTCAAAATATATCCTCTCTCATTTTTAATCCCATATTTTTCAATAAAATAATATTATATACAAATCTAATTTTTTTTTTTAATCACATATTCTTTTTTTGACAATACATTCTTCAATAAAATAATATTACATACAAATTTAAAAAATTTCTTATTTTTCAATCACACATTTTTTATCTATCTACTATTTTAAAATGCATTCTTGACCAAATAATGGGATCAAAGAAGGGCTAATCATTTTGTAGTTTATCACACCCCAAAGAAACTGAGACCACCAAAAGCCTCTCTCTCATTTTGTAGTTTATCGCACTCAAAAGAAACAGAACTACGAAAAACCTCTCTCTCTCTCTCTCTCTCATTTTGTAGTTTATCACACTCCAAAGAAACAGAGACTACAAGGAGCCTCTCTTGTTGAAAAAATAATTACTTGCAGTTGTAGAAATAGAATTTATCGACTGATCGAGTTTCGTAACAACACGTCTTAAAGTGAAATTGCTCATCAATAATTGATGCAACATCTGTGGACAATCACTCTCAGGATATACCGATCACAAACTACTTGTATAACAATCACGAATGATTTTCAGAACTCTCAAATGTATTCCAAAAAAATTATTTAAAAATTCAAGTATAAAATTTCAAAGTATAAGAAACTATAATATTTTTTCTGATGATTTTGTTTTTGATGTGTATTTTTTGGCAAACGAGATGTGAGTATAAATATAGGCAGACTGTAAGTAACTACCTCCTCCATGATCCAGAAATATATGTAAAAAATAATGGCTAGAGGATAATGGGATGTTAAATTATTTAGTCAAGGAAGCCCAAATGTCATATTTTCCGCCACTTGGACACTTCACCCAAATTGATTATTTCTTTCACATTTTATATTTATAGTATAAATATCTAACATCTCTCGCTTATCACACTCCAAAGAAACAGAGAATACTTTGAATTCTTTCCTCTGAGTTTCTTCCCTCACTTAATTTAATCCCCAGAAGCCTCTCTCTCTCACTCACTCACTCACTCACTCACACACACACAGTTCGCAACCCCTGTTGCTGAAAATGAGTTGGTGGTCGACCAGAGCTATTGGCGCTGCAAAGGTAAGTTTATTCATATCAGATATATTCAGAATCTGTATACGGATTGCATGTGTATCTATTTATGTGTGTGAGGATATGAGTAGTTTCTAGCGGTTAAAACCCTTGTATGATTTGATCTTGAAACAGAAAAAATTTGAAGAAGATGAGGCACCGATCAAACACCAAAGCGTGGCTCTAGTAATCGGTGTCACCGGCATCGTGGGCAATAGTTTGGCCGAAATCCTCCCGCTCGCCGATACACCCGGCGGCCCCTGGAAGGTCTACGGCGTCGCCCGCCGCCCCCAGCCATCTTGGAGTGAGGACAATCCAATTCAATACATCCGATGCGACATCTCAGATCATGAGGATGCTCAAGCAAAGCTGTCACCGCTAACGGATGTCACACACATCTTCTATGTCACATGGACCAATAAATCCACGGAGGCTGAAAATTGTGAAGCCAATGGCAAAATGTTTAAGAATGTGCTTGAAGCAGTTATCTCCAATTGTCCTAATTTGAAGCACATTTGTTTGCAAACAGGAAGGAAGCATTACGTTGGTCCATTTGAATCCTTTGGAAAGATAAAATTTCATGATACTCCTTTCCACGAGGATTTGCCCCGTTTGGATTGCCCAAATTTTTACTATACTATGGAGGATATCCTGTTCGAGGAGGTGGAAAAGAGGGAGGGATTGACGTGGTCGATTCATAGGCCAGGGCTTATATTTGGATTCTCTCCATTCAGTATGATGAACTTAGTTGGTACCCTATGTGTTTATGCCGCCATATGTAAGCACGAGGGTATGCCATTGAGGTTTCCAGGGAGTGAGGTTGTGTGGGATGGATATTACGATTGTTCTGATGCAGATTTGATTGCTGAGCATCAAATATGGGCGGCAGTGGATCCCTATGCTAGGAATGAAGCGTTCAATATCAGCAATGGGGATGTTTTCAAGTGGAAACATTTCTGGAGGATATTGGCTGAGCAATTTGGGGTGGAATATGAAGAGTTCGAGGAGGGGCAGAACCTGACATTGCTGGCGATGATGAAGGATAAAGGGAAGGTTTGGGATGAAATTGTGCGGGAGAATGGATTAACACCTACTAAATTGGAGGATGTCGGGGTTTGGTGGCTTGCTGATACTATGCTTAGCTTGAAATGTTTATTGGATACCATGAACAAAAGCAAGGAGCATGGTTTTCTGGGATTCAGGAATTCTAAGAATTCGTTCATTTCATGGATTGACAAGTTGAAAGCTTACAAGATCGTCCCTTAACTTGATCCTCGTCTATGTGTTCTTGTTGTATTTGTTTGCTTCCTCAGTTTGATACTTGTGTTTTCTTGGTGTGTTGTAGTGTGTTTAATGTCTTCTGTTTTGATTTAAAGAATGTTGGGGCAAAGAGAAGAATAATTCCGAAAAGGAAACATTTTTTTCTTGGATCATTACTCAATTTGGGTTACAATGTAGTTATTAACTACGAAATTTGTTAAGAATAAAAACGGAATTGTGATGGATGAAAGTTTTTGTATAATGGAACATGTAAAATATGGTTCCTGATTTAGGCTCGTCAATTTTATACTGGTACCGTGAGTGTTGTTTGATCTTGCTTGAATAATATTTAGTACAGGAATCAAAGTGGGAAGAACTATTTACGTGATTCAAGCATGTTTGCATAGTTTCAAAGAGGTTCACGACTTCACGATCACAGATTCAAATTAAAAAATCTCGGCAGAATATGTTAGAAAAGGGATTGGTAAGAGGAAAGATGCAACAAAGTTGCAGGTCAGAACTTCTTGTTCTGAACCAGACAGGTTCAATGTGCTTTCTGATTTTGTCATAACAATTCCATTTGCTAACGCAGGAATGATGATTACTTCATCTAGGTCGTTGAAATTAGGCAGGAATTAACGCTCTCTAGACGGAAGGCCATTTCCGACTCCTGCAACCATAAAATAGACCAGGAGTCTACCTACAAAACTATCTTGCCAATTGGGCTGTTAGTCCGAAGATCAAGGACAAAAATACCATCAGAACTACTATACCAATGGTCAACCAAAATTTGCAGTAGAATAAAACTTCTTATATCTAAAACATTTATCCATAGTCCAGATCTACAGTTGAGATTAACACCACAAACCTATACCTACATATTTAAACAGGTGTAAGGAGTCTAATTGCATTCCACACCATGAAGTTAAGTTATAACTTGTGGACTATAATCACAGTGGAACACTCATCTCACAGGCCAGATTTAAAAGTGAGTTGTTTGCAATGTGTTGGTAACAATTTTTATTGAAATAGACCACCTTTCTGGAGAAGACTCTCGTTGCAGATGGGATGAGCAGTGGAGATGACTACTTGAGTAGAACATTGATTCCACGAAGTCACCTAGTGGAAGTATGGACTACTGTGGACATTTTTTTTAGGAGGAGAGGGGTATTCTAATGACACTATTAGAGTCCTGTTTGCATTGGTACGTTTAAGTCTTAGCTTGTGGATTTATAACCACTTGGACACTATACATAACAAGCCAGAATTTAAGAGTAAGTTCTACTTTAATGCTGTTGTAAAATTTAAAAGAATAATGTTATTTGTACATAAGCAGTTACATAATGGTTTACATACAGTTGAGGGTTTTTTTTTTTTCAGTTAAAAAAATTCCGATCCAATCATATTTCACTATATCATGTATGTGTAAACTTATTGTGTAGATGTAGCACAACCGAATTTAGAATATGAACAGACAAGCATCCAAAAATCAATCAATTTGACTGAAAAATGAAACTCGAATGTTAAGTAGTAGTAATTCTTGGAGTCATAACATACAGTAACTAGTTAAAGAGTCATGACATACAGTAACTAATTAAAGTCTCATCAAATTTTTTCTAACCTCAATTGCTACAGGCAAAATCTCGTCCTTCAAAGTTGTCAAAGCTTGGAAAGTAAGAATGCTAGTTCCTCATCAGAAACCTTCACATCAATGCATACTCCAGTTGAGGCCGACAGTCTTGCAGCTAGTTGATGCTTACACTGAAAGGTCACACATAAACATATGAGCTACATAATAAGCATCGAAAGAATTAACTAAAATTATGGGAAATAATGGAAGCAGCAAGAAAATATTACACAAAGTTGTTCCCCTCTGTTCACAATGTCATAGAAGAATGAATAACATGAACAATAGTGTTCAGGGAAGCATAAATATTCCTCCTTCCTCCGGGATTCTCCCACAACCTGGAATATCAACATTTTTGCATTTAAAGAAAGAAGTAGAAATATGATCCAGCATTACTGACAATTACTTTAATCATCACTTTAACTCTATCTCTATTTTTCACACTCAGTCTCAACACTGAGTGAAGGGGATGGTTGCTCTGTGCTGATAGGGAAAGTAAATTTTGTAAAATCATAAAACAAACCCTAATTGACAGAAAATAATTCACTTAGTCAATTCCAGCTCCAAATTAAAATAATGTCTCGAAAAATCATCTCAAATGAATTCAGAAACAAGTGTCCAAACTTTGACAAACGACAAGCCCTAGAAATGATTGAATAAAGAGGGAAAGAAAAAGATAAAAAGAAGAAGAAAAATAGTTTACCTGGAAAATAGAACGGCCACTGGGCTCGCCGGAAATCCTCTTTACACCCCTTTGATCAATTATCCGCGTTGCTCTCTCCAGATTCTTCCCAAAAAGAAAATGCAATCTGTAACATAAATCAACAATAATTTGTCACCCGTTTACTTACATATACACACTTAACTGGAAAGAAATAGAATATTTCTAAATTTTGAGGAAAAAACAAACCAAAAAAGTTGGAGATACTAACACTGAAAGCTGATCATCGGTCACTGGGGGAGTCCATTTCGTAATTTCCATCAAAACCGCGGGATTGTGTTAAAGTCAGATAATACAAACAGAAACATGGTGAAAAAATGAAAATTGAAAATGAAAGCGGATATGAAATTCGAAAGGAGCAATTGGAAATTAATTAAAACTAATGGACCTGAATTAGTAGACTCGATATCCTTCCATACTGATTCCGCTACCGAAATGCATTTGCTCATAATAGAAACCAAAACAAATCACCGGCGAGTTTGCTAGAATTTTATCGCGGAAAAAACGATGAAAATCAAAACAGTGAGGGCTCTTTCGAGTAAGTAAAAATTTTAATTATAAGTATTTATTGATTCATTTCTTTACAGTATAATTCTTCCAACTCTATGAATAAAGTGGCGAAAAAAAAACTATAGGAACTAATACATTTTGGAGATCCAATTTATATATCATAGGTTAGGTTTACTATTTCAAATATTAGATGTTTTGTTAATTAATTAATATATTTTATTTATTAATAATTATATTACAAAATTAAATATACATATTCAACATGAATCTTGCTACATGTACATTAAAATTTACATAATAGATTACATAATATCACGTGGCATTCTGCCATTTGCCAATTTAAAATATAATCGACTTTTTCATCAAACCTTTTCCCTTCACGTCATATTATGTAATTCATTATGTACATTTTTTATGTACAAGTAGTAAAAGCATATTCATCCTACACAACCACACATACCAAAACCATAATCATGTTCATCCTCTCCATTCTCTCTTCTTTCTCCATCCCAACTTCTCTCATCTCACAAGCTGGCCATCGACGCCGCCACCACTCTCGTTAGCGCCACCACACCGTTGGCACCACCTCACCAACATCATGCTCAACCACCTTACCACACCCCATAAAATTTTCAGATCAGCTGTCGCAACAGCAATCTCTGCCTTCATCGCTGCATATCGCTAGGTGACGCTACAAATCTCACACTGCTTTATTTCACCCAATCCGACAACTACTCATTCCAGCAGATCTTTTTGCTTTCTTTCTTTCTTCCTTTTTTTTTTTTAAAAAAAAATTGTGAGTGGTGTGATGATTGATGGTTCAGTGGTAGAGGTGTGCGATGCGGTGGTGGGAATGGAGATCTCTAGTGGGTGTGATAGTGATGAGCTACTATTGTGCAATGGGTGTAGTGGTTGGGCGAGTGATGTGGTGCTATGTGCGGTGGTTGTATGGTGCGGTGGATGTACAGGTGGAGGTTTGTGGTGTGGTGGTGGAAATGAAGAGCTCTAGTGAGTGCAAAGATGGTGTGCTGTGGGTACGTTTGTGATGGTGTAGGTGTGGTCGTTGGGTGTGTGCAATACATGGTGTGGTACTCTGTGCGATGGTGTTGGTGGCATGGTTGTGGATTTAGCGTGATGATGTGTTGGTATGTTCTATGATGGGTTGATTTGTTTGAAGTGGTGGTGTTGCTGTTGGTAGGCGGTGCTGCTGCTGCTGCTGATGTAGGCAATGATGAAATGGTGGTTACAAATTATTTGGTTAACTGTGATCAATAAACAATATGTGACTAATGAAAAAAAATAAATTGTGATTAAAAAAATAATATGTGACCTTAAAAATTGTTAATTTATGATCGATAATTTGTGACTTTTAATTTTTGTGATTTGTCAATGATAAATTAATTCTGACCGATGAACAAATTGTGACTTATAAAAATTCTTGAATTGTGACCGCAAAATAATTTGTAGTTTATAAAAATTCTGATTTGTGATCAAAAAATAATATATGAATAACTAAATCGTTTATTTATGAGCAAATTGTATAAATATGTGACATTTATATATTTAATTAATAAAATATACAAATAATTAATTGGATCATAAATAAATTTTAATAAATAGCTGATTTTTAAAATTTAAAACATTTGTTCTTAATTTTAAAATGGGTGATACTTAACATCATAGTTGTGAATTTTTCCAATAAATAAATACAATCATTTCAAACCCTCTAGACTTATTTTTTATGTAATAAAATAATACAATCGTGTACTAAAATTAACAAAAAATATCATATTAATCCAAACTTTATAACTTTAATCGAAGAATACATGGCTTTTAAGTGCGACTAGAAACATCTACGTCAAGCAAGGAATTCTTCCAAATCGCTGGTAAAGTTTGAGAGACCACGATTGATTCATACACAAGAAGAGAGTGAAATTATGAAAAAGATCAAATATATTTAAAAATAGATTTTCATTCAAAGATGAAATTTTATTGAAACGGTTCACATCTAGTCAATACTTCGGAACCAGCCAAACAAGTTGGTCCAGATATATGTTTTATAGCATTTGATATACGTTTGTTCGAAGATTGACCTGTATTTGTTATGTTGAGTTCATAGTCGGGAAATAAATATGACCGAATAGACAGAAGTGAAGGAATGGAGAAAAAAGAGTAGGAATAAACTAAAAATGAAATATTTAGATTGATCAGTTGTCCTTGTAAAATGGTAGCCAAGATTGGTGTCTTGAGGCAAATATAGAAGAAAGAAACATGCTCTGCAAATGCTATGGCTGGTCTATGATCTTAAGCATAAACGAGTGCAAAACTTAACTTAAAAAATACATATCAGTACAAATGCAATCTGCTAACTCAACTCCAATAAAAACTAACATGCAAAGAACAAAAAAATTGTTTATTTTCTGTAAAAACCTACATGAAAAACCTTGCCTTTTCATCGCAGCATCAAACAGCAACTATAATTTTATTTACGCGGAAACCTGTATACAGGATTACCGATTTTCAAGTTTCCACATTCTATTTAGGATACCGCCAATATATGTCGAGACTCCTCATTGGGGAAAATCTTGTCAACTGGATTTTCCTCGATTTCATCTGAATTATACGAGAAGATGTCAACAGGAGCGCTGGTGATGCCAACAGACCCTTGCTCGTGTTTAGGGCTTTTACGATGATCATGGTCAAGATAGATCACAATCACAGTAATATCATCATGGAAATGGTGCCTACCTTCCTTTTCGATCTTTCTAATGTCCTTGTATCTCACCTCCCTCTTCTTTGCTGCCTCGTGAATGGCAGCTCTGACTAATATCTTGGCTATACCCTGTAAAAAATTCCGCACAAAGAACAAGCAAGTCAAGCTAGAAAACTTTCCAGGGATGACCAGCCAAAAGCTAAACCAGATTAACAAAGGCTATATCACATTCAGTAGAACTTGATGCTTTGCCATTGCTTTTTAACTAATCCAGAACACAAATTTTCATTCTTGCACCGTGTTTTTAACAACAAATGAATCATAATCATGAAAGCAAGCAATACGTGGAGTAACATAGCATTTAGATGCAACTGAAAATAATAAGAGCCTTGCAATCCTAATCCCGAGGTCTTCATATAAGAACAGGCTGAACAGCTAATAAAGTAAATGTCACAACTGAGCCTTTGTTAGGGAAGAATTTATAAAAGGTTTAATTTCATAAATAACTAGAAATGAGTGATGGATGAGTAGATATTACGTGTGGATCCATTGAAATTTGTGGTCGAAAATGAAGAACATTTATAAATGATTTCTAAATTTCGCCACACGAAGGCAAAATATATGGTTAAAGCCAGAAGAAAAACATCCAGGTGTTAATGTCTCTATACTGAAATTATCTATATAAAAGTAGCGGGAACTCAAACTTACAGCTCTTGGGTATTTATATGTTGGAAATTTACTTAAACATGCACAGCGGAATTTAGCAAGTTTCAATTTCCATTCAGGATTCAGCTTTGTATTTAGATATAAACTGTGATAAGAAATATACCTTTACTTGTGATTTGCAAACTCTTTCGCGTTATTCCTTTCCAGCAGCTTGAATCTGCCTCCCACAGCTGTCCAATTGTCCAGTCTCCAATGTAATCCACACAGAGAGTAGACAGCAACTGCTAGGGTTTCTTTTTTGTGCTAGCAAGAATAATGAAAACATTATTGGACCTCAAACCATAGCTGCATATATATATAAACCCAAACGGACCCGGTCCGGTCCGGTCCAATATTTAATTAATCCAATTAATTAAACCCGGTCCGTGAATTAATTAATCTAATTAATTAATTCGGGATTATAAATAACAAATTCAATTAATCAATTTATTCAACGATTGTTAAATTAATCAATTGACAATTTGCAGTCTTCAAATTCTCTTTTGTGTGCGACCCATTAGGTTCCCGACCACGATGTATGACGTCGTGAAATATTATTTTGATCTAATCAAAATTGATAAATTAATACACCCTTTTAATTTATCGTCAATTCACATTCGCCGTCCCTGATTGACATCTAGCAATGTGTCAGGGCAATACATGTGACGGGAAATATCACGTAGTATGACAAAATCAAATTCGTTCGTTTACCGTGGAACTATTATCCCTTCGTCAATACGATCCGATCAATTACGAGATATGGAATTGTGTCAATCTCGATCATTGATCATATCTTTCACTCCACTATTAAGTCAATATAAATCGAAAACTCCTTTTCGACTTATGAGTACACCTTGGCCAAGGATTTCATCATCGACTTAATTGAATGAAACGCAGATCATAATTTCCTACTATCTAAGAGTGACGAATCCTTTATTAATCAATCACAACCTTCATACGATTCTTGACGTACCCGAACGATGTCGTATTAGCGGCCCCTTTCAGAGTAACATCCAACACCGCCAAAGTATGACTGTCCTCATATAAGGTATCAGGACGACCTTAAGTCAAAGGACCAATTCCACTACCGAACGTTAGAGATTAGCCACTGACACTCAGATAGTTATCCATTTGGAATCTCTTAGCGGGTCTCCAATGTTTTGTTCTATAACAAAACATCCACGTCTTCATTTAAGTGTCACCACACTTTAACTCGTGAGATCAGCTACTTACTTCACAAGTAAGAAATGTCACACGTGATGGTCTAACTGTATTAACGATATCCGTATCTCGTTATTACTTACGACCATGGTTTATTCAAGATCCAATTATATGTAATTTGTATCTCACAATCACAAATCCTTGTGATTAACAGATTACCTAAAAATTGGATCTTCGGATTCTATTATTTAATATTATTTATTACAAAATTAATTTAAATAAATAATAGATCTCGCCAAAATCAAATGCATTAAATATATTAAAAGCGTTTACAACCTAAATCGATTGGATCTAGGGCATAACACTTACAAACTCCCACTTGCACTAGATCCAATCACTCACGTATCTAATACCATAAGCATCCACATGACGATCATGTTTCTGTTGTGACAACGGCTTTGTCAGCGGATCTGCAATATTATCATCTATGGGAACTCGCTCTATCTTTACATCATTCCTTTGTATAATCTCCCTGATGAGATGATATCGCCTTAGCACATGTTTGGATCGTTGATGAGGCCTCGGTTCCTTCGCTTGCGCGATGGCTCCATTGTTATCACAATACAAAGGTATGGGATCAACAATGCTAGGAACGACTCCAAGTTCATTAATGAACTTCTTGATCCATACAGCTTCCTTTGCTGCTTCAGAAGCAGCTATGTACTCGGCTTCTGTTGTTGAATCAGCGGTTGTTTCCTGTTTGGAACTTTTCCAACTAACCGCTCCATTGTTGAGAGTAAACATATATCCTGACTGAGACTTGCTATCATCTTTATCAGTTTGAAAACTAGCATCAGTATACCCCTGAATTTTCAGTTCATTTCCTCCATAGATCAAGAACACATCTTTAGTCCTTCTTAAGTACTTAAGAATGTTCTTAACCGCTATCCAGTGTTTCTCACCAGGGTTTGCTTGAAACCTACTCGTAACACTTAGAGCATATGAAACATCTTGTCTCGTACATAGCATCGCATACATGATAGATCCTATCGCCGAAGCATAAGGAATCTTGTCCATGCGACTCCTTTCATCCTGTGTTTTAGGACACATATCTCTTGAGAGGTAAATCCCATGTGACATGGGGCATAATCCTCTTTTGGACTCTTCCATATTAAATCTTCTCAAAATTTTATCTATGTACGAAGATTGGGATAAGCCTAGTAATCTTTTAGATCTATCTCTATAGATCTTGATTCTCAAGATATATGCTGCTTCTCCCATATCTTTCATGGAGAAATTCTTTGACAACCATAATTTTACTGATTGAAGTACTGGGATGTCGTTTCCCATTAATAATATGTCATCGACATATAATATCAGGAATACGACTGCGCTCCCATTTGTTTTCTTATAAATACACGGTTCATCTTCATTTTTGATAAAATCAAACCTTTTGATTGTTTCATCAAAACGAAGATTCCAGTTCCTAGAGGCTTGCTTTAATCCATAAATGGATCGATTTAGCTTGCATAATTTGTTGGCTCCTTTGGATTCAAAACCTTCAGACTGTGTCATATACACCTCCTCTTGCAGGTTTCCATTAAGGAAAGCAGTTTTGACATCCATTTGCCATATCTCATAATCATGGTATGCAGCTATTGCAAGCAAAATTCGAATGGACTTCAGCATGGCTACAGGCGAAAAAGTTTCATCAAAGTCAATACCTTGTCTTTGTGTGTAACCCTTCGCTACTAGCCTTGCTTTGTATGTGTGGACGTTTCCATCCACATCGACCTTTTTCTTGTAAACCCATTTACAACCTATCGGTTTTATCCCACCTGGAAGGTCGACCAAGGTCCAAACCTTGTTATCATACATTGAGTCCATTTCGGATTCTATGGCATCTTGCCATCTCTTCGAATCAACACTTGACTTTGCTTCTGCATAATTTGTAGGTTCATCATCCTCGATTAATAATACTTGATTAGTAATCGTGAATTCGTACCTTCTGGGAGGTCGAATGATCCTTTTTGATTTACGCTGAGCTGGAGTGTCCTCAGGGTTCTCTATATCCTGATCAAGAGTCTGTCCACCAACAGGTGTAGGATCAGACTCAAGTTCATCTAATTGGTCAACAGTGTCTGTGGATTCTTGAACTTCCTCAAGTTCTAGTTTGCTCCCACTACCCTCTCCTAGAATAAACTCTTCCTCTAGGAATATGGCATGCCTTGAGATGAACACTTTCTTCTCAACGGGATTATAGAATTGATATCCAATTGTCTCCTTTGGATATCCCACAAATACAC